CCAGTGGAAAGTATAATGGGAACAATTGGAGATTACACCATATGTATACTTTATCAATTTATATCTTTCTTATATCTGTCTTGCTGTCTCCTTAATAGTGAACTGATGGGAACCTACCTCCCTAGAGGGCAGGATGCTCTGGATATTACTGTTTAAGCATCAATAAGTCACTAGGACTTCTTGATGAAGGTGAAGGGTAGAACATACACATTAACTTTCTCTATCTCTTAAACTCCCATAAAGCAACAGCCATGGAATAATAATTATAATAATAAAACCTAACATGACATAGAGAATAAAAAAGAAGATAATAGGTCTACATTTTTGGAATCTGAAAGGACCCAAGGAAGCTCAATCTTAAAATAAAAAGTAATATGATTCATATGAGAGAGAATCCCTTTTGCACACACATGCACACGTGCTCACACACACACGCCTATGCATACAGATACCCCAAAAGCTTAGGAAATGGTAATACAAAGTAATTTCTGAAACGGGGAGTGAATTGAAGGTAGGGCTAAAAATTGAAGCATGGGGACACCTGGGTGGTTCAGTCAGTTAAGCATCTGCCTTTGGCTCAGGTCACGATTCCAGGATCCTGGGATCTAGTCCTGCATCGGGCTTCTTGCCCATCAGGGAGCCTGCTTCTCCTTCTGCCTGCCACTCCCTCTGCTTGTGCTGTCTCTGTCTCTCTGATAAATAAATAAATAAAATCTTTAAAAAAAAATTTAAAAAATGGAAGCATGTTTGAATATTCCTTTAAGAACAATGAGATCCTGCTATCCCTTCCTAACCTCTGTACAGTGAAGTGAATCTCCCTTCTTCTACCCTGGCAGGATATATAAGTTTATTATCCAGAGAAGATAAAACTGAAGGTCTCTAGACTGAAAAGAAAAGGAGGGAGTTGTACTTATAGGCAAAGAAGATCCTTCTATGGGGAATCCACTGATAGCCAGAGCTATTTAGGGAAATGACCCAGCGCCCCGCCCCCCATATATAGAGAATCTCAGTCATTGAACAGTACTCCCTGAGAGTTTATCATCAGCTTCCATATGAACTGATCATTAGGAATCAGAAAATATCTTAGGAAAATTAAAGATCAGCAAAAAATCTTAGAAGAAACTGATAGAAGACCTGAGAAGAAGACTTGGACAAACTGTCATTAGTGCCTTCAGGGAGGGAGAACCCCTGATGGATGGTGCTTCAGCTATGTTCCTTGGTAGGAAGTGATGGGTCTTCACGACCAATATAGAGGCACTCCTGTAGCACATGACCCCCTTGTAGACCACATTCTAGATACTGGGTCCTCACACTCCTTGTATAGCACACCCCAGTTCCATTCCCAGGGTCTGCAAGCCTCTTTCCTGTCTCTGTCCTTCTGAGTGCCTTCTAACACAGTATGCTTAGAGGGAAGCTTGTGTATGTGAAATGTGGATGGAGTTTGGGTATGTGGTCTGAGTCCACATGTGTAAGCATGGGGTCATTATAGATGAAAAGTCTTCCATACTGCTTAGCGTAATGGATGATTATAGACCATATTTATGCTGCATATTGTATAATTTGACATTGTAAGACACTATAAACAACAGGAGATCCTACAAGCTTTCTGAGAGGGAAAACCCTACAACCACCAAAAAAAATGTCATATACAAATGATCAGAATCAGAAAGGCTTCAAACAGCTCACTAGTGACACTGAAGTCAAGAAGGGAATGGAGCAGAACCTTCAAAGGTCTGAAAGGAAAAGAAAATTCTAAACTATACTTCTATATGTGAATTATTAATTACATAAGTGAACAGAATAGAGATATTTTCAGAAATTTAAGGTTTCAAAAAGTTGTCTCCCATGAATTCCTTTTCAGAAGCTATGGGATGGGATGTATTCCCCTAACAAGGGAATAAACAGAGGAGAACAAATGTGTATGAGACAAATGAGAAGGCTCTAGAAAAGACAAAGAATATCAAAGTTTCAATGTATATGAATATTTCAAAGTGATTTTGACAATTGGAGATTGGAGTTCAATATTGTAATAAGTTTATAGGAAAATAAGGTGTCAACCCCCTACCTCTTTCCAAAACAGGCAGTTTTTAACTGTAGGGCAAGAAAAGGCAAGCAATCAGCATATTTATGGCTTAGTTGTGAATCTTAGTATCAGAAATAATGACTATTGATTCAACCAAAGTTGTAATAGAAAGCTAAGGGGATTTGTGCTTCCTAGAAGTGGAGATGGGGAGAGGGTGTTGGTTGGTTTGAGAGGATGATCCTCTTCTTTCACAGTGGGAGGTCAGTAGATAATGCTGGAAACTGAAAATGCAGTAGCAATGTAACCATGGGGTCTGGTGATTTAAGCTGATAATGATACGGAAACTTAGAATGAAAAAAGCTGCCTTTGGAGGGTTTTATCCCTTCAATAACTATGTCGCTCTTTATGTGAATATTTTTTTTAAAATATTAAGATTTAAATTTTTTTATTTAAGTGTAGCTGACACCCAATGCTACAGTAATTTCAGGTGTACAATATAGTAATTCGGTGTCTTTATATGTTATACTATGCTCACCATAAGTATAGCTCCCATCTGTCACCATACAATGTTATTATAATATCATTGACTATATTCCCTATGTTGTGCCTTTTATTCCCTTGACTTTTTCATTCCATAACTGGAAGCCTGTATCTCCTACTGCCCTTCAGCCACTTTGACCATCTCTCTACCCCTCGTTCCTCTGGCACCCATTAGTTCTCTGTAATTTATAGGTCTGATTCTGCTTTTTGTTTGTTTTTTAGATTCCACATATGAGTGAAATCATATGGTATTTGTCTTTCTCAGTCTGACTTATTTCACTTAGTCTAATATTCCTAGCTCCATCTGTATTGTTGCAAAGGGCAAGATATCATTCTTTTTATGGCTGCATAATAATCCATTATATATACATATATACATACATAACACATTTTTTTTTTACTCTATTCATCAATTGACGGACACTTGGGCTGTTTCCCTATCTTGGCTATTAAAAATAATGCTACAGTAAACATAGGGGTCCAGATATCTTTTTGAATTAATATTTTTTTTCTTTGTGCAAATACCTAATAGTGGAATTTTAGATCATATTGTATTTCTCTTTTTAATTTTTTGAGGAAACTCCATACTGCTTTTCACAGTGGCTGTGCCAATTTCCCTTTTTTTTCCCCACATCCTTGCCAATACTTTTTATTTCTTAACTTTTTGATTTTAGCCATTTTGACAGGTGTGAGGTGATAGATACCTCATTGTAGTTTTGATGTGCATTTCCCTGATGATGAGTGATGTTGAGCATCTTTTCATGTGTCTGCAGGCCATCTTTATGTCTTCTTTGGAAAAATGTATGTTCAGGTCCTCTACCCATTTTAAAATCAGATTTTTTTTTTTTTTGGTGTTGTAGAAGTTCTTTATATTTTTAAAATATATATGGATATATCATTTGCAAATAATCTTCTCCCATTCAGTAGGTTGCCTTTTTGTTTTATTGATAATTCCTTTGCTGTGCAGAACCTTTTTAGTTTGATGTAGTCCCAGTAGTTTTTGATTTTGTTTCCTTTGCTTTAGCAGACATAGCCAGAAAAATGTTGTGACAACCAGTGTCAGAGAAATTATTTCCTGTTCTTTCTTCTAGACTTTTTCTGGTTTTAGGTTTCACATTTAGGTCTTTAATCCTTTTGAGTTTATTTTTTGTGTGTGGTGTTAGAAAGTGTTCCAGTTTCATTATTTTGCCTGTAATTGTGCAGTTTTCCCATTTATTGAAGAAACTATCTTTTCCCCATTGTATATTCTTGCTTTCTTTGTTATAGATTAATTGACCATATAAGCATGGGCTTATTTCTGGGCTACTTTGTTTTATTGATCTATGTGTTTATTTTTGTGCCAGTGCCATACTGTTTTGATTACTATAGCTTTTAGTGTATCTTGAAATCTGGAAGTATGATACCTCCAGCTTTTTTCTTCTTTCTTAAGATTTCTTTGGCTATTTGGGGTCTTTTGTGGTTTCATACAAATTTTAGCATTATTTGTTCTAGTTCTGAAAAAATGCTGATGGTACTTTGATAGGGGTTACATTGAATTATAGTTTTCAAACTATAGGTTTTTTACTTCCTTGGTTAAGTTTATCCCTAGGTATTTCATTCTTTTTGGTGCAATTGTGAATGTGATTCTTTTCTTAATTTCTCTTTCTGCTATTTCATTATTAGTGCATAGAAATGCTACTGATTTCTGGGTATTAATTTTGTATCCTGCAACTTTACTGAGTTCATGTACTACTCATGGTTTTTTGCTGCATCTCCAAAATTTTGGATCATTGTGTTTTCATTTTCATTTGTCTCCATGTTTTTTGATTTAACCAAGGAGGTAAGAGACCTTTACAATGAAAACTTTAAGACACTGATGAAAGAAATTGAAAATGATGCAATGGAAAGATATTTTATACCCAAGGATTAGAAGAATTAATGTTAAAATGTCCACACTACCCAAAGCAATCTATAGATTCAATGTAATTCCTTAAAATACCAACAGCATTTGGGGCACCTGGGTGGCTCATTTGGTTAAGCAACTAACTCTTGATTTCGGCTCAGGGTCATGCGATGGAGCTTTGCATTGGGCTCCACGCTGAGCATGGAGCCTGCTTAAGATTCTCTCTCTCTCCCTCTCCCCCTTTCCAACCCTCCCCCTCCTCCTCATGCTTGCACTCCCCGACCCCTGCAAAATATGTATATATATGCCAACAGCATTTTTCACAGAACTGGAACAAGTTCACCTAAGTCTCAAAATACTTTCCTTTTCTAATCATAAAGGAAACTCTGATAAATGAGGATTGGTGTTTCATAGAGATAGGGTTTTAATGTAGATATGCGTTTAACTGTTCAAAGATTTTTTTTCCAGTGGGTTTTGACAGGGTGAAGTTGAATATATGATGATTTTTTTAGGCTGAAATGTATTTTCTTTCATTAATTTTAGTTTTATTTTCAGGGTGACCGTGGACTTCCTGGTTTTCCTGGGCTTCATGGAATGCCAGGATTAAAGGTTGAAAAACAAGCTAGTCTTTTAATATTCAGTAATGTTGCATTTTATTTTAAATTAAAACTTCTTTATGTTACAAATGTGTTATAAATAAATGCTCAAATGTAAAGTATATTAAAATAAATGATTGGATTACTATCATAATTTACATAAAGCTTTTTACAAATTTTCTTTAAAATTTCCAGTCACAAATGTTTTGGCATTTAAACATTGATGAGTAAGTTTTAATATATGAAAATTCTTTTAACTATAAGCCCTGTTATGGTACCAACTATCCTTATTTTTCCTTGTTTTTCTTCATAAAGCCTCAAAAATAGGGCTTTATAAACAAAGCTTAAATTATTTCTATTTTATTTTATATTGGCAATTAAACTTTGTTTATAATTGGTACTGTTTTTTTCTTTAAGCTTCAAGGGACATTTTCATATTTCTCTAAAATTCAATAATTTAATTCCAGTTAGTGAACATATAGTGTCATATTAGTTTCAGGTGTACAATATCATGATTCAACAATTCTATACCTCATTACTCGGTTCTCATCATAAGTTTACTCTTAATCCCCTTCATCTATTTCACCCATCCCCCACATCCCCTCTGATATGCTTTATTTTAAATGAATAAAGTTGTCTTTTTTTTTTTCAACAAGAACTTGAAGCATACTTCAGAATACATGGTTTGAAAAGATATATTTAAAACAAGAGAAATAGAATACACATTTTCTTCAGGTACACACAGAAGAATTCCCTGGTTAAATCACATAAAAATAGACATAAATACTGGAATTAAAAAATTAAAAAAATAAAAATTCAGTATTTATATTTTGTCTTTTAGGGTGAAATGGGCCCCAAAGGAGATAAAGGATCAACTGGATTTTATGGCAAAAAGGGAAGTATGGATTATAAAACAAAGTATCTGTATGGAACTTTGGATGTCATAGAAGTAGAAAACTTGTATTTCAGTCCCAGCTCACTCACCATTATAGCAATTAGCTTTGTTCACCTTTCTCAGGAAATTTATTTAGAATAATGAAAAAATAGAATAATACCTGGTGTGTGGCATTTTAAAAGAATACATCATGTTATTGATCATTCTGAATTTTTAAAATATTTATAAAGAGAGATTCTTTGGGAGGAAGTGGGAGCTGCTTAACAGCATGTCCATGGAGAATCAGTTATGGGCCTTCTGATTTCCTCACATTGGAGGATGATTATATTTTCTGTATATTATATTTACAATACTCACTGCTTTTTAATTTTGCCAAGATGTGGTTTCTGTTTTTAGATGCTTGTAATCCTGCATTCACCATTGCTTTTTAATGTCTTTGTGTCCACTGGCCTGGTAAAATAATGCTTTGCCGGGAGTTGTAGAGCCAACTCTAGCTGTAGTTCCATAAATTCTGTCACTACGTAAAGAGGTTAACTTTTTAACTTAAGTTTGAGTTGGAATTTTTAAATCATTATTGTACCTCCTTTGGGGATGGTGTCCAGAGGCATTCCCAATGGTCCAGCTGCTATCACAGGCTATTCTACAATACAGCCTCTAGCAAAACTAGGCTGTCCAGAACCTCTGGTAAAAGAATTGTTTACCTTTGTACCAAGAAAAAGTTGGGAAACCACCAAGATCCATATGTGTGTGCCCAAGCCAACTTCAAAGAATTTGTGCTGTGAGACCTAAAGTCTTAGGAATTTGCCTAAAATGAAAAAAACATGTCAGCAGGGCCCATGGTGGTTCCATGTGTGCTAAATATGCCCATGCCAAGGTCAAGCATGCCTGCTTTATTGAGCAGAAAATCATTGTGGATGTGTTGAAGGCACAAGCACAGAGTCAGAAAGCTAAGCAAACAAAAAAATGAAGCTTTTCTGAGAAATAAAAACAAAAATTGAAAATAAAATTATTGCATGGGTCGTTTTCTAAGTGTTTGTTTTTAATACAGGGTGCAAAAGGTGAAAAGGGGAATGCTGGATTTCCTGGCCTTCCTGGACGTGCTGTGAGTTTGATAGAAAAAGCTCTTCAGTATTTTACTTTAAATAAAAATTGTACTGCCTTCTTTTAGAAAAATTAGTGCAAAAAATATATTAAAATACATGTGTTTATTTTTTAGGGAGAACCAGGAAGACATGGAAAGGATGGATTAACGGGTAGTCCTGGTTACAAGGTATTTACATAAAAAAACCAAAAGATTTCTGTAACTCGTGAGTGAACATTAGAAAAATGTACTGATACTTGACTTTGTTTACATTATGACATTGGTATAAAATAATGAGCTGAAAGTGTTTTACTGTAATTTAAAAATGGTAGTAAATTTCTTTTGAGTCTATTGTGAATTCTTAGGTGTTAGAAATAGAATCTCTGGATATTAGAAGGTTGAACTTCTCTGATAAGCCATTCAAATTGGTTTGTTTGGTGGGTTAGAGGCAGAGGTACCAAGCTCTTATCTACCAATAAGGGAGGTACTTGGGTGGGAGGTAGGGGGACTTCATCCTTAACCTTAACAACTTCTTTACCAGTTGTATGATATTAGTGTGAGAGAATTAGAGCAAGAGGAACTGCAAAGTGCCTGTCATTCACCACCCCTAAAAAACTCAAAGGCACATGCCCTTACGATGATGGGTTAGCACCATCATATTCTTACATAAAGAAACTTTTTTTGGTTAATAATCAAATAGAAATGGGCTTTCTATGCTGTAGTTTGTCAAATAAAAGGGTATCAATCCTGTGTATATATTTAAGTCAGTCTATCTGGGATGTGCCAACAGCCCACATAATTGTTCTGCTATAAGTTTTTTGAATACCTAAGGAGAGGATTTGTGTAATCCATCAACCAGTGAGGCCACTTGGTCAAGCATTGGATTTAGAGATGTCACCATGTTCCCTAGTCATCAGGCCAAACTTGCTCAAAAATCCGGTTCAGATTTTCTTGGTCTGCTACTGATTTCTTTTTTGTTGGACAAATTATTCATTTATTTGCTTAGTAAGTATTATGAAAGTTCCCCAAATATCCATGACTCCTTAAATATTATAAATAGTGCTTCCTGAATTTAAAATATTGGGGCTCATTTGCTAACCCATCATCATAAGAGCTCAGTCATGTGTTAATTATATTTCACTGATTCTGTATTTTATTTCCCATTTGTTAATTAAACAGACATTTACTGATATTTATTAGGTGCTAGACATACAGAGGGGAAGAAGACCGTCACAACCCTTATTTTTATGGAGTTTATAATCTAGTCCCTCTTTATTAAAGAACACAGATTCTTTTCTTTACCTGCAAATTTGGCATTCATCTAATTTAATTTTTCTTTGTCTTCTGTTACCATTAGCCCAAGTGCCCCAAGAAATGAGATTATAGTTTTGGGGGGTAGTAAAGTTTAGAGACTAGAACTGAGTTGGATTCCCACCGCTTGGTGACTTTTTCTAACCAGCTGTACGTTCTTTGACAAATACTTTGACCTTCCAGTTTTCTCCATTTAAAAAATGTACCTCTGAAGCAAATAATACATTATATGTTAAAAAAAAAAAAAAAAAAGATAGCAGGAGGGTAAGAATGAAGGGGGTGGAAATCGGAGGGGGAGACGAACCATGAGAGACTATGGACTCTGAGAAACAAACTGAGGGTTCTAGAGGGGAGGGGGGGATGGGTTAGCCTGGTGATGGGTATTAAAGAGGGCACGTTCTGCATGGAGCACTGGGTGTTATATGCAAACAATGAATCATGGATCACTACATCAAAAGCTAATGATGTAATGTATGGTGATTAACATAACATAATAAAAAAAATGGGATAAATGTTACCTACTTAGAATGGTGTGGTAGGGACTGAGAACAATAGAGCACCCAGCATAGTACTTGTCAGAGAATATATTCAATAAGGAATTAGTTTCTTTGTCCATTTTTTGATTAGAACATTACTTTAAGATCCTTTTTTGAGCTTTTTAAATTTTTTTTTATTTTTATTTTTTTTTAAGATATTTATTTATTTGACAGAGAGAGAGACAGCAAGAGAGGGAACACAAGCAGGGGGAGTGGGAGAGAGAGAAGCAGACTTCCCGCCAAGCAGGGAGCCCGATGTGAGGCTCGATCCCAGGACCCTGGGATCATGACCTGAGCCGAAGGCAGATGCCTAACGACTGAGCCACCCAGGCGCCCCTTGAGCTTTTTTTAAAAACCCACTTTATTGAGGTATGAGTGACATACAGAAATTACATATTTCATGTATACAACTTGGTGAGTTTGTACATGAGTATATTCTCGAGAAATCATCACCACAATCAGTGCCATAAACATATCTGTCACCTCAAAAGTTTCCTCCCTTTCTCTTGTTTTTTTTTCGTGATGACAGCATTTAATGTAAGGTCTGCCTTCTTAGCTAATTTTAAAGTTTGCATTACAGCATTGTTAACTGTAGGCACTAAGCTGTATGGTAGATTTCTAGGTCTTACTCATTTTACATAATTGAAACTTTACCCTTTGACCAATACTTCCGTGTTTCTCCCTCTCCCCAGCCCCTGGTAACCACCATTCTACTCTCTTTTTCTGTGAGTTTGACTGTTTTAGATTCCACCTGTAAGTGGGATCATATAGTATTTGTCTTTCTATGTCTGGCCTATTTCACTTAGCATATGTCTTCTCGGTTCATCCATGTTGTAACAAATGGCAGGATTTCCTTCTTTTTTGAGGATGAAGCGTATGTCTGTGTGTGTGTGTGTTTGTCTATATGTCTTATCTGTGTCTATCTAGATATCACATTTTCTTTATTCATTCAACTGTCAACAGACATTTAAGTTGCTTTTATGTTTTGACTATTGTGAGTAATGCTGCGGTGGACACGGCACTACAGGTATGTCTTCGAGATCCTGATTTCCATTCCTTTGGATATATACCTGGAAGGAAGATTGCCACAGTATATAGTTGTTATCTCTTTAATTTTTCGAGGAACCTCTGTAACTGTTTTCCATAGTGACTATATAAATTTACATTCCCACCAACAGTGTACAGGGCTTCTAGTTTTTCCACATCCTTCCCAAGATTTTTTTTTTTGGCTAATAGCCCCAACAGATTTGAGATGATATTCCACTGTGGTTTTGATTTGCATTTCCCCATTGATTAGTGATGTTGAGGTCCTTTTCATATACTTGTTGGTCATTTATGTCTTTTTGCAGAAATGACTATTCAGTTCCTTTGCCCATTTTTAAATTGGGTTGTTGTTATTATTACTGCTATTGAATTGTAGGAGTTCCTTATATATTTTGGATATTAACCCTTTATCAGATAGATACATGGCTTGCAAATATTTTCTCCTAATCTGTGGGTTGCCTTTTCATTTTGTTGATGGTTTTCTTTTTTGTGCAGAAGCCTTTTGGTTTGATGTAGTCCCACTTCTCTAATTCTGCTTTTGTTGCCTATGCTTTTGGTTCCTGGATTGTACGTAGGAATTTTGGGATTCTTTTTTCTATTTATATAAAAATTGCCATTGGGATTTTGATAGGGATTTCATTGAATCTGTAGGTCATTTGTGGTAGTGTGGACATTTTAACAATAAAAAATGTTCCAATCCATGAACTAGGGATTAGGAATGGCTTTTCATTTATTTATGTCTTAATTTCTTTCATCAGTGTTTTGTAGTTTTTAGTGTATAAGTCTTTCTCCTTTTTGGTTTAGTTTATTTCAAATTATTATTTTTGATGCTATTATAAATATGGTTGCTTTCTTAATTTCCTTTTTGTATGGTTTGCTGCTAGTGTATAAAAATGCAATTGACTTTTGTATGTTGATTTTATATCCTGCAACTTTACTGAATTTATTAGTTTTGACAGTTTTTTAATGGAGTCTTTAGGTTTTTCCATATATGAGATCATGTCATCTACAAACAGAGACAATTTTCTTTCTTTTACAATTTAGATGTTATTTCTTTCTTTTTCTTGCCTAATTTCTCTGGCTAGTACTTTCAGTACTGTGTTGAAAAGAAGTGGCAAGAGTGGGCATCTTTGGCTTGTTCCTGATCTTAAAGGAAAAGCTTTCAGTTTTTTTTCATTAAATATGTTCACTGTGGGTTTTTCATATATATGTCATCTTTATTGTGTTGAGTTAAATTCCTTCTATACCTAGTTTTTTGAGACTTTTAATCATGAAATGGTGTTTTGTCAAATGTTTTTTTCTACATTTCTTGAGATGATGTGATTTTTATCTCTTTTTCTGTTAATCTGATATATCACATTGATTTGCATATACTGCCATCTTTGCATCCCAGGGATAAATCCCACTTCATTATGGTGGATGATCCTTTCAATATGCTGTTGAATTCAGTTGGATATTATTTCTTCAGGAGTTCTGCATGTATGTTCATCAAGAATATTGGCCTGTAGTTTTCTTTCCTTGTGGTTTTAGTATCATGCTAATACTAACCTCATAAAATGATTTGGGAACTGTTCCCTCTTTTATTTTTTGGAAGATTTTAAGAAGGATTCATATTAATTCTTTAAATGATTAGTGGAATTTATCTGTGAAGTCTGCCTGTCCTGGGACTTTCTTTATTTTAGGAGATTTTTCATTACTGATTCAATCTCCTTATTTGTTATTGGTCTGTTCAGGCTTTCTCTTTCTTCTTAATTCAGTCTTGTTAGGTTTTATATTTCTAGGAATTTATCCATTTCTTCTAGTTTTTCCAGTTTGTTGGCATATAATTATTCATGAGTCCCTTGTGATCTTTTTTATTTCTGTGGCATCAATGTCACAGAAATAAAATGTCTCTTCTTTTGTTTCTGATTTTATTTGAGTCTTCCCTTTTTTTTCTCAGTCTAGGTAACTAAGGATTTGTCCATATTTTAGATCTTCTTAAAAAATAAACTCTGGCTTTAATTATTTTTCTTTTGTTTTTGTATTCTCTGTTTCATTTATTCTTGCTCTAATCTTAATTATTTCCTTCCTCCAGCTAACTTTGGGCTTGGTTCTTTTTTTTCTAGTTTTTGCGCTTTTTTTTAAAAAAAGATTTTATTGATTTATTTGAGAGAGAGAGCACACAAGAGCGGGGAGAGGCAGAGGGAGAAGGGGAAGCAGACTCCCCGCTGATCAGGGAGCCCTACTTGGGGCTCGATCCCAGGACCCTGGGATCATGACCTGAGCCCAAGGCAGATGCTTAACTGACTGAGCCACCCA